TTGGAGTTAAATATTTTGCAAGTTGTGGATTATATTGTTTAGTTCAACCAAACACACCATATGAAATCATTTATGAGTATGGAAGAATAATGATGAATGAAGCAAATCCAATCATTCAAAGAAATATGAGATGTATTGTTATGAAAGTGATTGAGAGTTGTTATGAAATGAAGAAAGACACCACAGAAATACGACAAATCATCGATAGAAAAACATGTGATATGGATAAAGTTATTGAACATTGAAATATAAAGATGAAAGAACAATATTGATGATTAGAAGAAAGAAAGGAGAAATTAAAGAATGTTTTAGAAATCTTCAAAGCAGAAGTATCACATGTTTAAATGAAATAGACAAACAAAATCAAAATCAAAATGAAGAAGAAAGAAAAGAAAAGGAAGAAGAAATAACTAAAATGTATGAAGGAATTATGGAAGATCTCAAAGAAGTAAGTGAAACATTTCGATTAAGAGATATAACTAGAAATGAAGAATGTGTTGAAGTGATGAAGAAATGTAATGAAATAATGAAGAGAAGAAATGAATGTTATGAAGAATACAAGAAAGTGTATCGAGAAATAGTTGAAATAGAAATTTCAAATATACCAATAAAAGAAGGAATTGAATTTTGTTGTAAAATCACAGAAGGAGTTTTATTAAGAATGGTGTTAAGTGATTTAATCAAACAAAGCCAATCGAAATTAACAATGTACAAAACACTTCAAATGATTTCAAATGAACAACTAAACCAACCAATACAACAACATAACAAAGAATTAAAAAAAGGAATTATTACAACAAAAGAATGTGTTGTTTGTCATAAAGAAAAGGATGAATTAATCAATGTATTTGGATGTGGTCATAGTTATCATTCAACATGTTTAAAATCAACAAGAATATGATTAGAATGTAATCATCATATGAAATAATTAGTTTTAATCAACAACGTGATTACATTGTTGTTGTTATATCATTTGAAATGATTATTTGACAATAAATCACATTATTTATTATTATCATTTCTTGTTATCTTTTTATTCATCATAAATCATTTCTTTTTGATTAATTGATTGATTTGATAACACATTCATTGTGTTGATGGTAAGTCATTTGACACTCTAAAAACAGACCA